CTACTACCAAACGAAAGTCACTTCTAAATATTATTGCAGAGTCCTGTGCAAAGAGTATTGTCTTGGGAAAGTCAGAATTATTAAAAAGTAAACCAGACAGAGGGGAAAAAAAGAAAGAAAGAAAGAAATCAGAACCCCTATTTTTTTAATGGCCTCAATTTTGTTCTGTAGTTAAAAGACTCAAACTGATCTCAGAACACAAGTGAGGCAGTTTCTAGCCAGAAGCAACAAACCTCCTATAAATTTCAAACAGCCCATAAAATGGCATTGCTACTATGGGTGTGGTTTCAGTTAAAAGCTATAATGCTTTGAAAACTAAACTTTACATCTAGGTGAACACTGCTGATGACGATAAAACAAAACACATAATCCAGATTATATTCCAGCAAGGCTACTCTATTTCATGTTCCACTTGATTTATTATCAAAGTCATATATTTGGAATCTTTTAGCTGGGAATGCCTTTTACCCACAATGATAGGATCACATACATAAGAAAAGTTTTGGTAATTAAACTGTGGAAGGCATTGCTTAATGGATAAAAAAAATAATTACACTAACATAACAACAGGGCAAAACATCACAGTGGTAAACAGAAAACAACTGAATGTTTTCTGCAGACAAATAATTAGTCTCCAGAGAGGACACTTGGTCACAAAGTCCTTAAAACCATGCTTCTGTTACAAAATAGTATAGATACAGGATGAAGAAATTTTCCCAAACGGGGAGGGTATACCAGTTATTTGGTTTACATTCTCCCCTACTCCCTTAGAAAATGCTATTTTTAAGGGCCAGCTTGCTGGGTGATTTCTGTACCAGATTTAGGAGAGAGCAGGGGAAAGGTGCTGAATATGTTAGCATTAACCAGGCACCCTGAGGCTGTTTAGAAAGCAAATAAGCAGCTCAATTGATGACTGTGGAAAGAGTAGGGTACTGGTGGTTACTCATGTGAATGATTTACACTTCACATCATCACCTCATGGTCAAACATCATATACTAAACTGCGAGGAACAAAGGCCAACAACACACCTGACTTTCTACAGCAATTCCCATGCACTTTCATAATCGCTTAACTGAAGTTGTGATTATAGGATGTATAATCAGAAACACACCTGGATCCACCTGTCTGGAAGTTCTTCGGAGTCCATTGGTCCGTTTCTGTGCAGAGAGGAAAAACAAAATAAAACAAAGGTGTGTTAGTGATTTTGCATTATTACTTCTGACACTTTGGAGGATCAATGAATGCTGCACTTGTTCCAATTAAATGTATGACTAAATTTAATCAAAACCTGATGTTAAAGTTGGTTTTTAACCAATTAGCAAGAAATTGGTTAATGGACACAAAGAGTGATTACATTTTGAATGATGAATATGCTAATTATCCTGATCTGATCATCACGTATTGTACGCAAGTATTGACAGCCAACTCTGTATCCCACAAATATGTATAATCAATTATGT